AAGTACATTTGTGGCCTAGATTTGGTTTTGTTTATATTTGCATTCACCCCACTAAGAGAGTAGCTTGTATAAATCATTTGACAGCTATAACTAGAGACATAAAGGGCGAAGAATCATTAGCAGCTATGGAGATTATGACTAGAAATTGAAAGCAGGCAGGCTTCATGTGTGTGTTTGTAGTTAGGGGTATAAAATGCTTTTTCGTTAAACTCGAGAATAGTTCTTTAGTTTTGATACAAATCCCTTGATGGATTAGTAATGAGCTTCAAAATACCAAATCAATCTGCATTTTAAAACAAGCTTTTTAGGTCTTTCATTATCTTTTTGATATATGTATGCCTTCCTCGGCATGTTTATTCCCGTAAAGTGATGGTTTATATATAGTTGGTGCTAGTATCTTTTGGGAAGCAGAAACCAAACTTTTTCCGCTAAGAACCAAAATTAGATCCTTGCTCTAATCCTAAAGGTCAAACACTCCAAATTGATGGATGAGTTATTAAAAAAGCACTTAAGAAGCAAGAAAGACTTGATTCCAATGAATATCATATAATTTTTAACTTTTGAACAACTTATGTTCTATAATTATCAAGTTCCATCTTTGAAATACTGATGAAGCTTAATCTTGGCTTTTTGAAACAATTAATAAATAGTTACTCTTTTTTGTTATCTAATTTCACTAAAATACTGATGAAGATGTATAAATTTATTCTGTTTTTATCTAGTTTATGGCCTAACAAGACATTGGAACAAATTTACAGGTTTCTTATGCAATTAACAAATGATGAAAGTGAGATCAATTTGGCAACTGGGGAAGTAGATCAAGAATTTGCTGAGTAGAAATGGGCAAACTCTGAGGAAGTTATAGAACAGGTAATTTGCCAAGCCTTTACTATGATTAATTTTCTTGATTTGCATTATATGAAAAACTTTAAGATATTATATAAGAAAAATTGTGACAGGCAGTGGACTACAAGAGGCCAACATATGAGGTAGTCATGAGGACATTCAGGCCCTACTTGGATGATGGTAAAGCTGCAAAATGTAAATCGACAAAATGGTAAATGTCTTGGCCTGCTCTTGTAGGTCTGTCCATGTCTTTACAAGTAGAAATTGAATTTGAACTTAGTAGATTTTGCCCTCTGTAAATGGATGTGGCAGTTAGAAGTTAGAACTACCAATTTAGACTATTGCTCATTTGTGATTAAAAAAAAAAAAAAAACCTTGTGCCAAAGTATCTAATTTTTGAAAAAAAAAATGAAAAACAGTGGGGAAAGTTGCATGTTCTGGAATTTGGATTGAGCATCTCTGTTTATATGATGAGATATGACTCTTACCATGTGCCAACAAACAAAAGGAACTGCCAATTTTCTGTTTGTAATTAGCTAGTTGTGAGATAACCATTTTGCTTGCCTATTCAATTGTTCAGTGGTAGGAGTATATGATATTTATCTAGAATGCTGCAAAACTTAAAATAATGAAGGTGCCTTATTTCTGCTGCTTGTAAATTTCAGGTAGATGAAACAAGGATCTTGTATCCGAGGCACCATTTTGCTTGCCTAAGATCTTCTAATCATATTGCCTGTCAATTTTCTCCTCGCCAATATGGATTTTTGGTATATTTTGAATGAAAATGAAATTCGTTCCATTTCCATACATACGATATGAATCTACCCTAAAATCTTTACGTTTTTGAAATTCATGTTTTGTTCAATAAGAAAATAAAATTTGTTAATTGCCCAACTTGTTGGGTGGTAAGTTCCTTTGTATGGAATAAAATTTATGCTTAAGTCACTTTCCTTTTTTGGCCAACATGCTAAAGTCACGTTTGGTAGGACCAAAATGGAATAGAATGCACCTTTCATTTTCATCCCCATATATATTTTTATCGTAAATTAAGTTTATTTCCTTGCCATATTTAATAGAGCAAATTTAACAAGGGAAACCAACAGTTGCTGAGGAAAATGATCCCTTTAAATTCTAAAGTGAGAATCACGATTCCCTGTTTGGGAAATGAGCATTGATTCCACTCCCTCCCTTCTCCTCTACATATTTTTTTTACCTCTCATTTCAAAACTTAAAATGTTGTGCAGTTTTGGAGTGTATTTATTACATAATTTAGATTATTGGATAAAAAGTGAGTTTTCTGATATTGATAAAGTTTTTTAATATAATAAGACACCATATGGTGGTATTTTTTTTTATTAATATAGTGACACATTAGTGTATGTGTCCTTATTTGTAATTAAATAATTAATATATTATAATAAATTAATTTATAATTAAAATTATTAAATAAAGGATAAGTTTTTTTGATATTGATGAATTTTTTTTGATACAACAAGATAACTACATCATGATGCCACATCACAATATTTTCAATCATTAGTATAGTAACA